GTAGGCATGTATTGGGTCATTGCACCTGAATATAAGGCGTTCATATCTTCATATAAGACCCAGGACTTCGGCTTGCTAAACTTATAGTTTGGACATTGCAGATTATTTGCTTTGGCATATCTATGACATGCCATTGTCATTCCTCCACGGATTCCATTTTCAACTATCAGATACTCATCCATATCTGTCATGAGCTTAAGTTCTACCCCGCTACTTTTGTATAGAGGATCATTAAACATTCCAGGTACAGAGACATAGTGAGATGAATTTAGACCATCATCTTTGAGACACATTATAGTATAATTCATGAAAACATCCGCAAGTAAAAGTACATCAGTCTCAAGATAAAGGTCATGATATTCTCCAAAGTTCTTTATCTCGAATATTTGCCATACCTTTTGTGCATGTTTGTAATCCTCTTTACTAATATTTTGTTGACTAAGAAGTGAATAGAAATCCTTTTTAGACGGGAGGCTTGTTCTGTCAAATTTTTCCTATGCATTTGTCCAGTCATATAGAAAGACACCCTTTCGAAAAAGAAGCTTAATCTTGTCTATTGAATAGCCTTTTTTAGTAAAATACTTAACACTTAGAGGGAATTTTTCGATTTTCCTCCCTAGGCATTCAACCAATTTATCTAGCCCCATTCCCATATGCTGAAAGCTATCTAAGAACCGAAGCTGTCCTACATCCATGGCTTTGTACTTTCCTATATTCTCTGGGATGCAATTTAGCTTATCAGCCATGAACTTGCTCACAACTTTCATAAGCGGATGAGAGTCATACTCTCGGAAATTATGACAGATAAGGTGCACTTTAGTTTCGAAAGAGCCTATACGCAACTTTTTATTACAAGAGTCATGAGCTGGGCCTCGGTACTTTCCATTTATATGATCATGATCTTTTACTTTTCGATTAAGTGCACTTAAAGCTTCTCGGTATCTTTTCTGTGCCTCTTTCTTTTTAGGATGTTCTTTTTCCATACATGATTCCCATTCTTTGATTTCCAATAAATTATGCTTTGCTTCTTCAAGTTTTTGTACTATTTCTGGTGCTGGTTTTAAAAAAGGTCCCTTGCAAATCCAGCATTCTGTCGCCTCATTGTATGCTTTAAGATCTCCTGGTG